TTTTTTGGGGGGAATTTTGGGAGGATTTTGGGGATTTTTGGGAATTTTTTGGGGGGAATTTTGGGAATTTTTGTGAATTTTTTGGGGGGAATTTTGGCCGTTTTTGGGGTGATTTTGTGGGGATTTTTGGCCATCCCAGAATTTAAATGAATTTTAACCCTTCCGTGGCCGGGAATCCCGGGGGAATCCCTGGAATTCCGGGAATTCCGAGCCATTCCCAAAGCTTTTCCCGGTTTTTCCCCCCAGGTCTCGGCCCGGGAGCGCCGGGAGCGGCTCCAGGAGAAATCGCGGCTGAGCCGGAGCCTCCTCCCGCTGCTGCCCCAGCTCCTGGAAAAGGTCGGGAATCCCGGGAATCCCGGGAATTCCGGGGGGTTTCCCTGCCTTTTCCCCAAAATTCCCAGGTTTTTCCCCGAAATTCCCAATTTTTCCCCGAAATTCCCATTTCTTTCCTCTTAAATTCTCATTTTCCCCCTGAAATTCCCATTTTCCCCCCCAAAATTCCCATTTTTTTCCCCAAAATTCCCATTTTCCCCCCCATAATTCCCATTTTTTTCCCCAAAATTCCCATTTTCCCCCCCCAAAATTCCCATTTTTTTCCCCAAAATTCCCATTTCTTTGCTGTTAAATTCCCATTTTCCCCCTGAAATTCCCTTTTTTTTCTCCCACAATTCCCGCTTTTCCCCCACACAATTCCTGTTTTTCCCCCAGAATTCCCGGCATTCCCAGTTTTTCCTGCTGTTGTTCCCAGTTTTTCCCCCAGAATTCCTGGAATTCCCAGTTGTTTTTCCCGGCATTCCGAGTTGTTTCCCCGCTGCCCTTCCCAGTTTCTCTCCCAGAATTCCCGGAATTCCCGGGATTCATTCCCGGTTGTTCTTTTCCCGCTGCCGTTCCCAGTTTTTCCCCCTGGAATTCCCAGGATTTTCTCTGGAATTCCTCCCAGAATTCCCGGTTTTTCCCGGCATTCATTCCCGTTCTTTCCCCGCTGTCATTCCCAGTTTTTCCCCCCGGAATTCCCGGTTTTTCTCTGGAATTCCCGGTTTTTCCCGGGATTCATTCCCATTATTTCCCCGGTGTCATTCCCGGTTTTTCCCGGTTTTTCCCGGGATTCATTCCCGTCCTTTCCCCCCCGCTGTCATTCCCAGTTTTTCCCCCTGGAATTCCCGGTTTCTCTCCCGGCATTCCCGGGATTCATTCCCAGTTGTCCTTTCCCCCCCGCTGTCGTTGCCAGTTCTCGGCCGAGCCCGAGGCGGTGGCGGCGCTGCTGGAGCTGCTCCCGCACCTGGAGCTCGGAATGTTCCGGACGGCGCGGCTCGACAAGGTGGGCACGGGACGGACCAGTATAAACCAGTACAAACCAGTACAGACCGGTTCAGACCAGTACGGACCAGTATAGACCAGTACAGACCGGTTCAAACCAGTACAGACCAGTATAAACCAGTTCAGACCAGTCCATCCCAGTCCATCCCAGTCCATCCCAGTCCATCCCAGTTTCCATTCCCAGGTCCTGGATCGGGTTCTGGAGCGGATCCTGGAGCTGTTCCGCTGCCACTCGGAGCCGGTTCCGGTTCCCCTGATCCCATCCCAGTCTATCCCAGTTTATCCCAGTTTATCCCAGTTTATCCCAGTCCATCCCAGTCCATCCCAGTTTCCATTCCCAGGTTTTGGATCGGGTTCTGG